TAGGTTAGGTTAGGTTAGGTTAGGATAAGTAATTCTAGGTTAGGTTCGACGTAATCGACCTCCCCCCCCCCTTTAAAAAGAAGCAAGAGAAGAAAGGAAAAGCGCGCAAAAAATTCCTTCGACAACGTCGTGAACGACGTTCACGACACACTTAGACAACGTCCTCGAGGGACGCCTTTCCGGGGACTTACGTAGAATGGACATAATGAACGCCCCCCCCCCCCCCCCCCCCCTTACTACTCTCCTACTCAAGGAAAATTGACGAATTATTAGAGTTGGTGAATTTATTTTTTAATATTTTATTTCGTTTAATTTTTTTTTCTTGATTTTCGTTTCTTAGTTTTTCTCTTTAAAAGGCCCCACATCGTTACGTAGGAGCCCGGAATCGCCTCGGATACTTTCCCCGGAGTCGCCCCAGACGCCCCGGGTCGTTTTCCGGATTTTCCGATTTTTCGGATTTTGACGTCTCGAAAGCCGAAAGTTGGATTTTTTTGTTTTTGTTTTTTTAACTTTTCACTTTGCGTACCGAGTAGCTCTCGTCAGGAGGAGTAAGAAACGGTTTCAACGGTCAATAAGTATATTTTACAGTTAGTACTACCTGGACAAACTACTCTGCCAATTTAGGAAGGATTATCTCAAAAATTGTTACACTTTTAGTTTCGATGAAGCTCTTAAATTCTTAGATTTCCTCAACTTCACGTTAAAAAATTAGTCTCAAAAATAGTCCTTGCCTCCTGGAAACGGATTCAAGCATCAATAAGTATATTTAAGAGTTAGTACTAGCTGGAGAAACTGCTCTGCCACTTAAGGAACGATTAATTCCAAAGTTATTAGAGTTTTAGTTTCGATCAAGAGCTTAAAAGTCGGGATTTCCTGGAGTTCAGGTAAAAAAATGCCTAGGCAAATGGTCAAATTTTACCGAAAACCCACTTTGGCTATTCGCCGAGGCAGTTGATAAAGTGCCTAGGCATTTGATAAAGAGCCTAGGCATTTGACTAAATGCCGTATGGCCTTTAGGCAAATAGTGAAACTCGTTAAAAATCAGGCAAATAGTCAAATTAGCAATTAATACGAACAATTTACTCAACGAAGTCATTTGTTGGAGCATCTTAGCTGATGGTCGAATCTTGAGGAGCATTTGAGCATGTTGTTCTTGAATGTGAGGTCACCTGCCGTTTATTAAGCGTATCGCTTTCCACGATCGGGCTAGTGTTTTCGATGAGGCTCTTAGATTCTTAGATTTCCTCAACTTCACGTTAAAAAATTAGTCTCAAAAATAGTCCTTGCCTCCTGGGAACGGATTCAAGCATCAATAAGTATATTTAAGAGTTAGTACTAGCTAGAGAAACTGCTCTGCCACTTAAGGAACGATTAATTCAAAAGTTATTAGAGTTTTAGTTTGGATGAAGCTCTTAGAATTTTACATTTCCACCACTTCACGTAAAAAAATCATTCTTAAAAATAGTTTTTGCTTTTCGGAAACGGTTTCAACGGCCAATAAGTATATTATACAGTTAGTACTACCTCGAAAAACTACTCTGCCAATTTAGGAAGGATTATCTCAAAAATGATTAGAGTTTTAGTTTCGATCAAGAGCTTAAAAGTCGGGATTTCCTGGAGTTCAGGTAAAAAAATCAGTCTTAAAAATCCTCTTTGGCTTTTGAAAACGCTTTCAACCGTCAATAAGCATATTTCAATGTTAGTACTAGCCAGAGAAACATCTCTGACACTTCAGGAACGATTATTTTGAAAGTTATTAGAGTTTTAGTTTCGATGAATCACGTAAAATTTGCAATTCTCTCAACTTGACGTAAAAAATTAATTCTTAAAAAGTCTTTGGCTCTTGCAATCGGATTCAACGGTTAATGAGTATATTTTACAGTCAGTACTAGCTGGAGAATCATCTCTGACACTTTAGGAACGATTATTTTAAAAGTTATTAGAGTTTTAGTTTTGATAAAACGTTTGAAATTAGCGATTTTCCGAAGTTCGAAACTAAAAGAGTAATAACCAGTCTCTAACGGGTTTTCCACCATTATTTTCTCCTTCCTCTGACTCCAACTACCTTGAAAAACATAAATAATTCTATAATACAACTCTACTTTCTCTCCAAAGACAGAATATCTGTGACTTTAAAACTCGGTTGTCGAAAATTGGTAAAATTCCATGCATGGCCTACAAGTGATCCAGTAATAAAAAATTTCTTAGCCGTCTCCCATCATTTGTGTGAGCTCCCCTAGTAGCACATCTGAAAATTTATACATATAATATACATATAATATAGAGCATTCTATAATATATGTTTAATATATATATTTTATAAGTATTAAATATGTATAATATAGTTTGAGGTGAGTGTGGAAAAGGCCATTCTATATTATATGTATATGATATATATATTTGTATGTATAGTATATGTATAGTGTATGTATAATATAAATTATAAAATACATTCATTATAGTTATAAAATACTTATAAAAATATATATATTATATTTATAAAATATATATAATATAATGTCACCTATTTTGGCTGAACGCAATGTACCGGACCGGACCGAAGTTATTGGGATGATGAAGATAGGAGCTGCAGAATGCATTGAGGGGCAAGGGAGGTCTAAAATTCCTAATTTTAAAGAATTATACATGTTGAGGACATTGGCGGTATTAATCCGACACCCCCCCCCCCTTCCCCTAGAAATCTACGCCCCCCCCCTTCTCCTAAGAAATGTTAGGGATCTTCCATCGTAGGTGTATCATCTATTTTTATAATCTTCAAAATTTTACGTGTATCAATTTTTTTGGTGAGAGCAGCTTAAATTTGCTCCTGAGATGACTCAAATTTTTCAAAATTTTCTGCAGGAGCCCCCCCCTCCCAACCTTCCTTGAAAGGGGGGGGGGGAAGCCCCGGAGACACAGGCAGATCTCCCCTGGGAAATAAAAACGGTGTATGAGCCATCAGGCGTTGCCAAATTTCCCTCGAATTTTTAGGAAATTTTTTAATATTTACCTCCGATTTTTCACAAGATTACGTTTGTAATTTGATCCAAAATGTTTGAAAATTTCAAGGAAATATATTTATAACTTTCTCCAAAATAAATATTTTCAAGAAGAAACTTCGGCAACATTCGAATGCCTGTACGGTAATTTAGAGGATTTAATTTTTTTTGCCCTCTAAACCCCCTTGCTAAGCTGCCCCCTCCCCCACCCACGAAAACTCCCCAGTTCCGCCCATTTGTTCCAACGAGACCACAACAATATATTCATGGTGTTACGGAATATGTATAGTAAAAACACAATTTCAATTAGACAATTGGACTGCATTTTGCAATTTGGCACCATAAATTCTGGCTCATCTGAAAAAAACACTTATGTGCATAGGGATACTAATGGCACATGCGTTGTTTTTAAACCGGGCCAGAATTGATAGTTCCAAATTGCAAAATACAGTCCAACAACTTTTTTTTTGAAAATTCCCGCCGTTATTTGAACTTCGATACCACGGGATGGAGGGAGGGCCCGGAGACGTATCAGGATTGGCTGGCGCAAAGGGTGATCCTGTTCAACCTGTTGCCATGCAGCCGCCATTGTGATTCGCTGTGAGCCTAAGCATAAACAGTCGTTTCGTTAGTGCCTTTCGAGTTTCGTTTGAGTTTCCGTGGTTTTCGAGTTTCTAGTTTCGTGATTTGTTTTATCGGACTGTTTTCGGTATTCGGTTTCTTCGCTCTTTTCTTCGGCTACTTTTGACCTTATCGGACGGAGTGGTGTTTTTTGTGTAGTTCGTTTCTCGGCGTGGACCGTTTGTGTGAGTGTGCCTAGTGTCGTGTGCAGATGAACTGCTTCCCTTTTGTCACGCCATGACTTCAAATTCAAGTAGATCTGTCCATGAACTCCTAGAACAGGTCAGTTAACTGACATTAAGTTTTAATTTCTTTTTATATGTACACTGTGTACTTTCTTAACCATGGCCCCTAAGCGAAAGCAATCTCTTCACTTCCTTCAACGGAAACGTCGGGAGAAGGTCGTGGATAATTTATTCTCAGCATCATCAGGTAGTTCCTCTGAGAATACGCTGGCTGGAGGAAGCCCACTCCCAAGTTCAAGTCATCAAGACTCATCATCATCTCCACTTGCTGACTTCATGCCTCCATCATCTCCAACCAGATCTCATCCGAACCTCTCCCAGAGTGAGCTCAGTGATGGCAGCTCGGACGACGAAGATACTGATGATGATGTATTTGTAGATACAGTTGAACATCCATCAGATTTAGAAAGTAATTCAGGATTACCAACTAACACCCTTTTTTCGTCCGATAGCGAGTTTGAAGATGCCGAGGAGGTAGGTGAATCCTCTCAATCTAACTTCGATGATGCGGCAGATGCCTATGATAGTGCACCACTATTCGAGCCTACAAAGATGCAGAAACTGAGAGAGAATCTCCGTGTGTGGGCACTGATGTGCAATATAACCCTTTTTGCTCTCACGAAACTGTTGCACCTTTTGAAACTGTGTGACGAAGATTATTTTAAAGATCTACCGGCCGATGGTCGCACTGTCCTGCAAACTCCCAGGGTCACCAATGTACGTCAAGTTCCACCTGGTGAATATTATCATATTGGCCTAAAGAAGCAACTTCTGTCTGCCTTGTCAAATCTCTCTGTTGTGCCTGAATCCTTGAAACTTGTCTTCAATATTGATGGTCTTAAAGTTCATAAGTACACTAAATTTGAATTATGGCCTTTCTTAATGAAAATTGTGGACATTCCAATTCTGAAGCACTGCATTTATCCAATTGGAATGTACTATGGCAAAGGCAAAGGAAGCATCCATGACTTTCTCCAAGAATTTATGGAAGAACTAATATCTCTTCAAGAAACGGGTCTGATGTTCAGAGATGTGGTTATTCGTATTGAGGTGATCGGCTTCATATGTGATGCTCCTGCGAAGTGTTACTTGCTAGGAGTTAAAGGACAAGGTGGTTTTTGTTCATGCACACGCTGTCAAATTCATGGTTTCACCTATGAAGGCAGACGAGTTTTCCTAGAATCTGATTGCGAAGCGCGAACTGATGCAGATTTCCGAAGTGGAGCGGACAGAGAATTTCAGCCGGATGGTTGTTCCTCACCTCTTGTCAATATTCGTGGATTAGATATGGTCAAATCTATAGTCATCGATACCATGCATCTAATATTTTTAGGAATTGTCCGTACGCTTGTAGATGCTTGGTACAATGGTCCGAAACCATTCAAGCTGTCCTCAAATCTCAGAGGAAGGTTTTCTCAGGATCTGTTCAGCAGCCAAGTTTATGTGCCTAAAGAGTTTCCACGGAAACCGAAAGACTTGAGTTCTGGAGCCCACTGGAAAGCCACAGAGAGCAGAACATTCTTGCTGTACGTTGGTCCAGCACTCGTGAAGAAATATTTAGATAATGACAAGTACCGTCATTTTTTACTTCTTCACTCTGCAATGACAATTTTGCTGTCTCCCGTATTCTGTCGAAGCAAGGAAATGCTGCAGAAAGCAAAAATGAGCCTCCAAGATTTCGTGGAATCAACGCCTCCTCTGTATTCTGAAGCATTCGTCACTCACAACATTCATAACCTGCTGCATCTAGTAGATGATGTGGAACATTTTTCTCAATTTTTCCAATCATTTTCATTGAATGATATTTCATGCTTTCCATTTGAAAATTATCTACAATGCATCAAAAATCTTGCCAGAGGTACAGCCAATACTCTGCAACAAATTGCCAGGCGACTGCATGAGATTATGAAGTGTGTAGACCTAGCCAGGGAGAAAGCTCGAGAAGATTCTATTTATACCTATCATCCAGAACAGAAACACTCTCAAGGCCCTCTCTTGCCTGGGTGCTCTGATCCGCAGTACAAATCTATCAAGCTCTCTGATTTCACAATGTCAAGACAGATGCCCGATAATTGTTGCCTCCTCAAGAATGACTCGGTGGTCCTAGCTGACAATTTTGCTTGGTCTGATGAATACAATGAGATGGTCATTATTGGCAAGAGATATTTACGGAAGGAAAATCTTTATGAAACTCCGCACCTTCAGAGTTCAGACTTGAACATCTTCAAAGTTGAGCGATTATCCAAGCGCCAAATGTGGAGAACGTCGGATATCAAGGCGAAATGTGCAAGATTTCCTCTCGATGAGGTTACTTCAGCAGTTTTTCCATTACTCCATTCTGATCATTCTGGCCCGGAAAGTCTGGGATTGGAGCTGTGAATTACAACTTTTTCATGAGTTAGCCTGGTGAGTTTAACTTTTGGTTCCATCTTTTCAAGGTAACATTACAATAATAAAGGAAAGAGTTCAGTTCAGCCAAGAAAGAGGAACAGCCCTCTTGTAAGTTATCTGAATATTCTTGAACAAGGAAGCTCGCTATGTTGCCATTGTTAAAATTCATTCTAGTGTAGATAATAAAAGAGGAACATCTTGCAGCTTCCCTTTACCTTGAGGATTAACACTTGCATAGTCTATTTCCTTGGGCTGCTTTTATATAGTTATGGGGATGCTGTTACCTAATTGTTCATGTATGGAGCCATAGTTTGATCAAATATGCAATTTAAACTTGCCTCTAGAGTGTGATGTATAAAATTTTCCACTTTTCTCTTGGAAGGATCGCAGATACATGAAATGCACCAAATCAACCCGCAAAATAGTGCATTAATATCTCATATTTTCAGTAACTAAGTATGTAAATGTGTTTTCCCCCTCAGCAAGTAAATATCAAAAGAAAAAGTAAAATTTTCTGTTTGGGGCACTTGTTACACAATATCCTTAATTGATTGGTCAATGTATAGACATGTTTATCACAAAATCTTTCCGGAGATTTTTTTAAATCATTTAGTATGGAGACCTGGGTTGTGTACTTTCCTTTTCCCAGGCTTAGGGTATGTAAGCTCTTTCTCAGTCTTTCGTAAAAATTGCTAATCATTCTTTACTTTGTTTTTCAGGGCAAGTGGTCTGTCGTACAAATAGACGGCACTGGGGAATTTGATGTGTTACCCAACAGCTGGTTTACAAGTGTGAACAAAGCACGTTACTATGACAGCAATGAAATCTCCTTGGCCACAGCCACTAAAATGGTCAAAAACCTAGATGAAGCCCCGGAGGACTGGAAAATTATCAATGTCACCCTGAAGAAAAGAAATTATGGTACGTTCATCTGACACATACTGTTCCGCTGCTATGATTTTTCTGAAGTATGCTGAAATATCTATTAGTAACCACATGTGAATTTTTAAGTTTTTGCTAAAAGATGAATTTACACTCTGGCTTGTTTACACTACTTTTTCAGTGGAGCTTGATTTACCTATTTTAAGTGAATATGAACGAAAAAAAAAAATTTAAATCGCTTCTTGCCAATTTCTTCAAAAAGTAAACAGGAATAGGAATCCATTCCTCGAAAAATTTGCTCCATCGAATGGAATTTTCTTTTGGTGTTCATTAGATTAAATTTCCTCCCATGAGCCAAAATCTAACAGAGAACTATGTTTCTCAGGAGAGTTAAGGAAAATGGTCTGCCGTTTTTGAATACTTTTCATCTCTCTCTTTCCCTCTTCCTTTATCTTGCTGTTAAATTTTTCAAATGATGCCTAATTATTTTTGCCACTATCCTACAAAAAATTACATTTCCTCTCCAAATACATCATTTCAATTGCTTCCAATTTTTCAGTATGTAGTTTTGGTATTTCTTGTCAGTTATAAACATTCAAACTATTCTCACTCAGTCAGTCTTGAGACATTAATCAACCCTCAAGGTACAGTATTTTCATTTTTTTAAATAAACCTGTTGATTTTTTTGTTTTTCTTTTTTACAGGAACCTTTGACGCAGCCATGAAAAAAATAGTAGATTTGACTCATGATCGGGGCACTGCCAGCGAGAGTGAACCTAAAGGGGTTGGTCAGCGGAAGATCAAACCTCTAGTCCGCCTCTCTCCTTCTTTCTTCAAGAAGACGGCACGAAGTCTACAATTTTCCAGTGATTCTGATGGGGATAACGAGACTCTATCACAAAGACTCTCCAAAAAGAAGAGACATCATTCCAAAGACTCGGAAGTCAAAACCAAATCATCGCCAAAGAAAAGTAGATCTTCAACTGAGGAGCCATTAGTGCTACCTGGTACCTCTAGTTCTAGTTCCTTGGTGGTATTTGAGTCAGTATTATCCCCAAAGAAGAAGAGAACTGAGAATACTAAAAATGATCATCCTGAGTCATCACCCTCTAAGAAGAAGATTCCTGAAAAGAAGAAAAATGATCAACCTGAGTCATCACCCTCTAAAAAGAAGAGTCCTAAGAAGAAAAAAGATGATCCTTCTGAAGATCGTTCCAAGACGAAGATGCCCCAGAGTGAAATCGAAACTTGCCTCCTGAAGCGGAAACGACTAAAGCATAAGTGTGCTTTTGAATATGGCCCCATTTCGCTTGTAACACTAGCTCACTGCTTTTGTGTCTTATCAAGTAAGTTATACTATCTACTTATCATATTTGTACCATTCCAAAGTTTTTCAGCATTCCCTCAGCTAAAAACTGAATTTTTCTGACCGAATGAGATATTTAGCATGTCCTCAGTAGAAAAAAAAATCCCTGATCAGATGAATTTTTCTCGATTTTCACAGACTATCATTTCAGTATTTTAGAAGTTTTTATGCAGGAAGACATTTTTTTTTGGATGGGCAGATTCATGGAGATCAATTTTAATTTATTTAGTAGAAATGTCTTAAAATGAGCCAAGAGAAAACCTCATGTCGTGTGAAATGAAGCAGTTTAGTAGTAAGCAAGAAAATGGAATTCTGAATTTAATTCTGACATAAATCCTGTGCTCATTATAGGATGCTAATTTTTCTCCTACTTTTTTTAGCCTTTGATGCCAGTATTTCTTTATCAAACTGATTATTTAACATCTTGACTTGGAACTTTGAATTTTATTTCTCCTGTTAATTTCTTTTTCAGGATTGATAGAAGGTATTTTAGCCGAACTGAATCTAATGAAAGAACTGGTTCAGGGACAAGGAAATGACGAGGATGAAAACGTCGATTCAGAAGATGAGAAGGCTGCAAAAATTAAAGAAATGTTACCTTTTTACGAGTATGCAAAAATGAAAGAATTTAATGCTGAGCTCTCTTCTGACCCAGAACTGGAAACCTTTCTTGTAAGTTCAATTTTTAAAATATTTAGCATTAAATCGGATTGTGGAGTGCTGATTGGTTTAACACCATGATCATGGCCTCATCATTGTATACAGAAAAATTCATAAAGCCACAAAATATGAGATGCGCAGATAAAACTAATCTTAGCATGTTTTAACATTTTATAAGTAACCTATTGTGTTACTGTCACCTCTAGCTGATTCAGAACCTATGATGATATATTTTCTATAGGATCCTGTACAGATTTGGCCCTTTCCTGCTCACAACTAGGAAGCTCCCCATCAATTTAGAGGTTAAATACTCAAAATGATCAGAATTTGACTCTCAAAATGAGCAAAGATAAGCGCATTACTCAGCCATTATTTCCAAATCATTTTATAATCTCATAGTTAATGTAATATCTTACCGTTGTTGATTTCATTTATTTTTTTTTTTTTTTTTTTTATGTAACTGCTTATTTTGTTTTTTTTTTTTTCTTAAATTCATAGCAACAAGCATTTTCCATATTTGGTAATCATTTTCACTTTGTCGTTCAGTTGCATATCGCTCTTAAATCCTCTTCAGTGTCTTGAAAACTGACCTTTCTCACTTACTCTCAGACCAGACAATTTACTTCATGGATTCCCCTGCTCTTCTCCAAATTTCCATTTTGTTTGATTTGTAATGTCTCACTTCGGCTTCTTTTCAGACCTCATATTTGAAATCTAAAGCGTCCAAGACGAATGCATCTATTTGTGCCACCAGCGTTGCTAGGCAGCTTATAAGCAAGTCACTATGCAAGCATCTCGTCCTTAAAGGCAAATCGAAGACAAAACATAGTTTTGAGAAGTTGAAACTCAAAACCATCATCACAAGTAAGATATCAACCAACTTTCCTTTTCAATTTACACGATGCGTAACGAACTTCAAAATATGTGTTTTCATTTGTACCCTTGTTCGTGTTTGCCTGGTCAGAATAAAACAGCTGTCAACTAATTTCTAAGTTCTCTGATCCGTGTAAATGTTTACGCGGGGAAGTGACCTACCAACTCGGCAACAATTAACACTCCACTGATTTAATTTACTCCAAAAAGGGAGCTCCTATTATTTTTAACAACTATATCGGGGGTGGGGGGGTTATTTTATTTTATTTTGTTTTTCTGATTACATTTTTCCAGTATCCAAGTGTAATAAGTTTATGGCATATCTTAGCACGTGAAAACATTTCAAAGCGAAAAAGAGAAGAAATATATGTTTGTTTGAAAAGAACGTTTTCATTTTGCTGCGGAAACATGCTAAGGCATAAGTTTCCAGTTAAAGAAAAACGATTAGTTAAAAAGTCAAGAAAAAGAAATAATATAATAAGCAACCTCTTCTATCTTATGCAAAATTTTTGTTTATGCAGCATGATATCTTCATCATCACCACCGTAAATAATTTGGTTATCTGTTTCAGACATTGTACGCAAAAAATTCCCCAAGGTTTCAAAGAGTGAAATTAACCAGACAGTTGATAAAGCCTTATCAAGATTATTCACTCAAACAGCTTCGAATATTAAGCAAGGGTAAGTTCCATTTTACAATCCTCCCTGCCCCTTCACAGACGCACCTATACATGCTCTCTCATAATACACCAGGTTTGTCACCGTTGGTGAAAATTGAAAAATGTCAGGATATTCGATGTAATCAGGAAGATAGAAGGAAAATCAGTTATGAATCAGGAAATTCCGACTGCGTCAAGCATTTTTCACCTACATTCAGTTCAGCACATGCACATGTGAAACATTTTATTCAATGCATCAAATATATTCGTCCATGAAATCAAACAAATGTCACTTCCTTGTGCAAAAAATCAAGAAAAGTCAAAAGGAAACTTACGTAGACACCTTGTACCCACACACTCAGAGGGTAAAATTGAGTGAAATGGATTTTTGCCTTGCACTGATTATGACTCTTAGAAAGATGCATCATCGTAAAACTCTGAACCTTGCGAGTCATTGCACTATGTACCTATCTTTTCATGGAACCCTTTTTGAAAACTACTTCCAATCCATAAACGTACTTATGTATTTTCCTTTCTCCCTATCTCCAGTGATTAATCCAATCTTAGGGCTTTACCTTCATTTTAACTTCTGCATAATTTTTAAATCCATTGAATTTGTCTCTTTACAGACTGTCAAAATCAGATACACCAACCAAAGTTGAGACTCAGATTCCAGAAGATATTCCAGAAGATATTCCAGAAGAGATTGGATCATCAGCTAGCGATTGAAATTTCAATTTTCGACAGTTCTTCTTGGTTTTTAAAAAAATCTGAATTTTTATTACGTTCCAAGCATCTAAAAACGAACTGTTCCTCTCGGCATGTTTTTGGTTTTGTCATTTTGTTGTGATCTTTAGATCTCCATCCCCTTCGTTTGTGTTTTTCAAGTAATGCCTAAGGAGCGCTACTATTTAGCTGTCAGGTTTGAATTCCTACCGCTAGTATCCCCAATTAAATCAGGTAAATGATAACTATCAAATTCAGATACACCAACGAAAGCTCAGATTCAGATTTCAGAAAATATCGGATCATCAGGAAACGATTGAAATTTTGATTTTTGACCGTTTTTTTTAGTTTTTAAGAAAATATGAATTTCTATTACGGTCCAAGCCTTTAAGAACTAACATTTCCTTTTCGCATATTTTTGCTTTTGTCATTTTATTGTGATCTCCTTTGATCTCCATCCCCTTAGTTTAGTTTTTTCCAAGTAGCGATCCTAAGAGCCGCTACTACGCTGCAGTCAGGCTTGAATTCCTGCTGCTAGCATCCTCTATTGAATCAGAAAAATGATTACTATCAAAATCAGATACCCCAACATAAGCTCAGATTCAGATTTTAGAAAATATTGGATCACCAGCGAGCGATTGAAATTTCAATTTTTTACTGTTCTCTTTAGTTTTTAAGAAAATATGATTTTTTTACATTGCGAATCTAAAAACTTTTGACTGATTAACTTTTAAATTTCTGAAAATATCGGGTTGTCAGCAAACGATTGAAATTTTGATTTTTGACCGTTCTTTTTAGTTTTTAAGAAAATATGAATTTCTATTACGTTCCAAGCCTTTAAGAACTAACATTTCCTTTTTGCATATTTTTTGTTTCGTTATTTTGTTGTGATCTCATTTGATCTCCATCCTCTTAGTTTAGTTTTTTCAAGTAATGATCCCTAAGGACCCCTACCTTACATCAGTCAGCTTTGAATTCCTGATCTTCAAGTCAACTAGAGATCCTGTCAAACAAAACTGCATGTAAGCTGTCCCTAAGATCGGTAGTTGAAAAAAACTAGAAACTAAAATTGTTTAGTCCCTTCATCCAGTCAACGTTTTGTACCTTCTAATTTAATCTAGTTCCAATGTTTCAGTCAGTTCCTTTTGTCTGTTGAAGGGACCTCTTGTTGTGAGTAATTTTTTTTTAGTTATAATTTTAGGTTATTAATTGAATTTTTGAATATATTTAACTTGAACTCTTATTTGGATTGCTTTTAGCAGAGAGGAACCAAGTCACATTAGCCATTGCCGAATTTAATTTGGCAAATTAATTTTTTACAAGAGGTCGTTTCCTGTGACAATTTTCAGGAATTTGCGCCATGCCAACAAGAAAATTCATCAAAACTTGTGCAAAAATCCGCACAACCACCTCCATGTAAGAAATTAAATTTGTCAATAGCTGATGTGGCTTGGTTCCTTTCTGCCTAACGCGGTCTGTTTATCTATGAGTGAACAATAATTATAATGAATCAATACTCTCTATTCCATAATAAATTTTTTGAGTCTACTATAAATTCTCAACGGAACAAAATATGAAAATCTAAGACTGTAGTTAAAGGTTCAACACAAATAGTCTGTAAACTTTTTAGCTATTCTGACATAGTTAAAATTGTTTATTTCCTCCGTTTAGTCAACTATTTTTTTATTTTTCTAATCTAATAATCCCATGTTATAGATAGTCAGTCTCCTTCGTCTACTGAAGGGACCTCTTAATTGTTTTGAGTCATTTTGTTTAGTTATAATTTTCGTTGAATTTCAATGTTATTTTCAACTGTACATATGTTAAACGTTTATTGAAGCAATACAATGAATGCAATAAATTTTTTCATAATCTAATTTAAAATCTTTGGTTCTTAATTAAGTAATTGTTTATTTTAATATCCTTCAATAAGGCTTAAAATGAAAATAATATTATGCATACCTTGTTATGTACCCAAGCATTTAATCATGAATCTAAAGCAGGGGTAACGACCATGAGACCATTCACCCCTTAGGGAAGTCTATTTAAATAGCAAAGGGGGCATTTCCCAAGAAATTTTTGAAGGGAGGGGGGGTGGGGAGCAGGACCCGCCTACAAATTCCTAATACATATTTTATAGGTATAAAATATATATTTATACCTATAATATATGTAGAATATAGCGCAAACTAATATAATCTTTATACCTATAATATAGGTAGATTATAGGTATAAAATAGGTATATATATTTATAATATAAGTATAAAACATCTATAAAATATGTATATATATGTATATTATGGGTATAATATAGGGGAGCTGTGCTACTAGGGTCCCTCTGACTTCACTTACCTTAAATTACATAGATTAAGCTTTAAAACATCTCTCATTTCTCTCCAGAGACCGAAAAGGTGTCATTTTAAAACGCAAAATCTGAAAAATGAAAAAAACTGAAACTCCTGACGATAGTGTTCCAGTAATAAAAAAATTCTGAGCCGTCTCCAATCATTTGTGTGAGCTCCCTCTGACTTCAACAATCCTAAATTACCTGGATTAAGCTTTAAAACAACTCTCATTTCTCTCCAGAGGCAGAAAAGGTGTGATATTAAATCTCGATTCATCGAAATGCGTAAAATTTCAAGACCTCC